GAAGAAAGGGAAACTGACCTAGTTGAGGGACCCACGGCGAACCTGACGGGTGCGAAATTCGCATGGAAAAATTTGACCTCGGCGACCTATCATGCCTCAAAGCTGGCGGGTCCGGCGATCTCCGCCCACCGATCATCTGATCACTCGCCGTAGTTCAATACGTGGCGAGTGATTAGATAGCTGAGAGAGCGTAGTGTTGAAGAGGGCACAGCGATGAGAGTCGCATCAATGCTCGAATCAACGGGCAAGGAAGGGGTACCATTTCTCGGGTTCTGGGCCGTTTCTCATGGTTCTTCCTTCTTTCGTGTACCACTCACCAGGTTAATTTGAAATGGGTTGCTTTTTCATCGTGAATTCGTCCTTGTATTTACGGCACAGAAGAAGAATACACACAAATATATGATATGCCAGATTCAAGAAGACAGAACATGTATTTTATTCTTACTGTTTTTCACTCTTTCTCTTCTCTTTTTTGACTCGACGCTTGCCTGCTCAGAAATTTCAAACCTGCTGAACTCACCTCCATATGCTGCATCGACATGGAGATATATGCGTTCCCGATAACAGACAGGTCCAAGGTCGTCTAAGCGGTCGAAACCACACGTCTTTCTCGTTCCTATGGAGGCTATCATGAGGAACGGAATTAGCCCATGAGCTCGATCCTCCTAGAAATACCAATCGATAAAGTGCAAGTACTTGATCACTCATTCCGGGTAGAATAATGGCCAATGCTATCCAATCTAGCCCAAGAACGAACGCGATAATGGTGTGGCCATGTTTCATTAATCGGGTCACGGCCTCTCCAGCGGAGCAGATGGAGTGTGACCCTTTTACTGGACCACACTCTTCCCCATGTCTTGATAATGAACCACCGAAAAAGGTTTGAGACAAAACACACAATCAGCTACTCCAGCCTACAGAAACAAGTCAAGCGCGCTGCCAAGCTGAAAGCTTTATCCTTCATAAATGTTTATTAACTAGAAATCGAAATCACCTTTAATTGCTTGTTCCAGGGTTTCTTTGGTCACTGTGTAGTTTTCCGTCTCAGGATCAATGTCGCACTTCAGCTTTCGTAATTTTACGGCGTGCAGCATTAATGCTTTTTCCAAGAAAGGATGTGCCTATATTATCGTATAACTTCGTATAATGTATGCTATACATTAGCAACATAACCTCCGTGATAATTTTCAATGTTTGAAACCAGTTTATGCTCATTCGAATAAATTGTGTCCGTAAAAAGTGCTTACATGTTCGGAACAATAAGCAATGAGTCTCTCGAAAACGACTGGGTCATGGTATTCCGCATTTTTGATCCCGGCACCTTCTTCGTCTATCTGCAATATCCTTCTATTTTATAAAGCGCTAACTTTGTGTGTCGGTTTGTGTATCTGTATGTGTGTGTATGTATGTATGTATGTATGTATGTATGTGTGTCCGTCCGCAAAATGAAGTGAGTGAGAAGGAAGCTCATGGGATAAACAAACCGCTAACAAATCGGGTAGCTTACAGGATTTGAGATATCAATGTTTTGTAGCAGGATAGTTGTGATAACACTCTTAGGGCTATATAAACACCTGCTTAGCACACTTCCGTTCATTCCACATGGTGCTGCAGTGGCAGCTGGAGGGCAGTGGAGAGAGGAAGGGAGGATGAGGAAGGGAAGCGAAAAATCTACCGTCATATCATGATTGTGTCCCTTCTACTGTATGAAACACCATTGTGTTGCATACGCGTCACTTCCAGGAGGTGTTGGTGTCACAGGAGGAAGGGACCATAGCGGAGGATAGAAAGCTTGCGCAGGAAAGGAAGGTCCCGGCGGTTGACGGGGGACTAATCTGGTAATAAAACGTAATGTTTCATTTTTGACAGAATTGCCCTTACGACATTAGAATCAGTTCGCGAGAATTTAGACCCCTGCTAAATATCTTGCTGGAATTTTTGTTCGTGAGGACGGACACTGTTCTTTTCAGATATGCATCGGGAGACATCATCAAGAAATATTTGGCCTGTTCATATGAGCACTCAGTCAACGAGCGAAAAAAAAGTTAAAGGGCGTCAATAAGCGTCATCATCAGGCTCGAGCAAATGTTTAGTGTTTTAAAAAATATAAACACCCGATACTCACTTCCACGATTGTTGCCCTCGCCGTAATAATCGCTGTCGTCGTAGCTTCGCCGGAATTGCCTTGGATTAGACTGCTACCGATTCCCGGATGATAATTCTGGGGATAACTGTGATCGTTGGATGATGAGCAAATTAACAATCATTTGAGCTGTTTTTGAAGAGGACCCGGTCCAACATGGTTGAATCAGAACATGTGATGCATTTATTGAGGATTTTCACCAGTCTAGTTCGCGTTACCGTCGGGACGCGCAAACTGCCTATCAAGAGAAAAACCGAGAAACCGAAGGAATCGTATGGATGTATAAGACAGTGTTATTTACCAAAGGTTCCCTGAGCTTTGTCCCCGATTTAGGATATATAAGGATCGAAGTTCATAAAACTTTTCTGATAACTCTTCTTCTTCTTCCTTGCGTTAGTCCCGCGCAGTCGCAGGGTCCGCTGATAAAATTTTTCTGATAACGTTTCCGGCATAAGTCCTTTAGGGAGAGGGGGGAGGACGAGACGGTTGACAGCGAAAGAATAAGGAAGGGAATGCTGCGTGGGCTTCTTCACTGTGTTGAGAGAAGGAAGCGATCTTCTTATAGTCACGATGACTTCCCTCTCGCACGTAGCACAGCCTCACATTTCTATAAGTCTCATTGCCATCTTCATTTCCTCCTTGTTGTTGATCGGTGGTGCACATTGCTTTATTTCCAATGCTTCCCTTATCTTTCGCTCGACCGGATCAACTATATTTCTGAAGAGAATGACAACACGAAGTTCCGGCTGGCATTTCTTGTGCGTCGGAGTGCGCTGTGTTTGGCCGATGTCAGACTTTGCGAATCGCGCGATTCGCTAGCGTCTGCGGTCGCGTCGCGGCCAGTGAATCACTCAATTGGCTGGTACCGCAAACCAGCCCTTTTGGCGTTTCGGCTGGGACCGTATGCTGAATGTTGGGGAGGGGATGGGGTCCCAACGGTCGACGGTTTACTTCAACTCGGTTGGTACGATAGGAGAGTACTGACGCAAGTGGTGCAGCTGGTCCAGCAGCTCCGCCAGAAGGGCTGGTTTGCTCACCCCAGGACTAAGCCTTGGAGAGGGGACGGACCCGTCCTCTCTTTAAGGCTTAGTTCTGAGGTAAGCACCAAATTGTGGCGGTTCTAAGGACCGAGTTGAAGTGGTCCGTCCACCGTCGGGGACTCCATCCCCTCCCCAACATTCAGCATACGGTCCCAGCCGAAGCGCCAAAAGGGCTGGTTTGCTTACGTCGTCCCCGGCCGCATTTCTTGTGCGGTGAATAGTGTGCTGTGTTGAAATGTTATTATTATCGTCTGAAGCTAAGCACTTCTGTATCTAACGAACTTTTCACTCCGAATCGTACTTGACAATTAGCGCTGGTCAGGCCCCCGTTTCGAGACTGGGGAGAGGGCTTCTATTCGTACATAAAGGATTCTCGTAAGTTTTGCCTACTGCTTACCGTAGCAGCATTATATACTATAAGGACTAGACACATTTCACCATTTTCAGATGAGAAGATATTGTTGGTAAGTGAGGCACCAGGAGCACGATGGGGTTGAACACCATTTCGGTCCATTTTTAGTGCTCTTCAAGCCGTCGCACTGGTTTATGCAGACTATGTGTGTGGGGATCGTCGGTTTGCAGCTGAACTTAATGAGGAACAACTTCATGGGAACGAAGAAAAGGAGCTCAGAACTTGAGGACCAATAGGCTCAGTGGCCAGGCTGCATCACGAAAGCCCTGCACGAGAGGAATGATCTTTTTGTGTTTGGTATAAGAGAGAGACTCGTCCAGCGGTAGAGCTCATTCGGGGAACCAAGGAAGAATAGAGCGTTTTCGGCTGTTTCAAGACAAGGATGTGATTTACAAAGGCACAGACTGGTTATGCAGGTACACTTTGCAATCGAAGATCTCGCTTCCGAAAAGCGTTTACAAAGTGAAATCAGTCACCGCATTAATTTTTTTGAAGTTTATTTTGACAAAGTCAGCCAGTCATACAGCTGGGGGGCAAAGAAAGGAATGAAAGCACGTCATGGCGTTCATAGTTGGCGATCGTACGTGCGATTAGGCGATTAGGCGAGTAGGCGATAAAGAAGGATACGTATTGATTTGTTGCTCCGCCCATTGAGCGATCGCCTAATCGCCTACTCGCCTACTCGCCTAATCGCCTAATCTATACGTATATTTTTCATTATAGACTAATCGCCTAATCGCACATACGATCGCCAACTCTGAACACTCCATTAGCGATTACCTTGAAATGTTCTGGCAGCCCAAGCAAGTCTACTAACCAGTCTAATGTTCTCATTTCCAACTCCGTTAATGAAGGTCCAGACATCTGAATCATTCGAATCATTGCTTCCAGAATGTGTTGGTGTTTCCAGCAGTATTTTCAAAATGAATTACCCAAGAGAAGCCAATTGTGGCAATGCCGTAGCTGAGAATATCGCCAATAATCGACGGATAACAGCAGGCGGCTGGATAATGGGCAAAGAACAAGGGATGATTCCAATTGGTATTACCTAGATTAGTCAGTTACTGATTTGCCGCTGGGTGGGAAATTCCAACTCATCGTCAGTTTCTTGCTTGCCTTGAAAAATCACTTCTTCCAAGCTTTCAAAAATCTCCTCCCAGCTCTCTGGTTTAGTAGGTGCTCGCCGAGGTACCTGTGACAGTGTTTAGAAGCTCTCTTTGGGGTGTCGACTATGTTTGACGCAGTTTTGGAGATTCAGGGTGGAGTGGGAAGTAGTAATGCAGTTTGAGTGAAACTTAACGACACTATCGACTCGACCAGCAAGAGGGCGGAGCCGTTGTGCTTGAAGGAAGAGGTGTTGTATTGACTTCTGCTGCAAAGTAAGCCCAGCCGTCGCGGTAGTAGCGCCGTAGCAGTGCTTGGAAAAAGACTGACCGGTGTGTTTCAGAACCAGCACGACATCCCCTCAGGCACGCACTCTTTATGATTTTATTTGACAGCAAGGCTCTAAACCTAGACTGCAAAAGCAAAAGTGCTCAAAATGCAGACCGTACAATAAATTGAACGACCGCTGGTAACGAAAGTACAGGTGCTAGTCATAGGCCGATGTCAGACTTTGCGAATCGCGCGATTCGCTAGCGTCTGCGGTCGCGTCGCGGCCAGTGAATCACTCAATTGGCTGGTACCGCAACGCGACCGCGGACGCTAGTACAAATCGGCCATAAGATTTGGAGAGAGGAGAAAGAGCAATGGAAAAGGCGCTCAATCTAAGAACCAAAATTTTTGTTCCCGATTGATTCCACGTAGGTCGAGTCGCATAGGTGGTGATATCATCATCATGAAAGGCTTGACTGACTCTGCTGACCACCAAAACGGCTAGAGTCTGACTGCGGGGCTCCCGAAGCTGAGGTAGCCAACAGGGTCAATCCTATGCTGCTACAAGTAGCAAGGGGGGGGGGCGCGTATTTTTTGGTGAGTTATCGTAGGGGGGGTCGTAGAGGGAAATTTGAGAAGGAGAAATGTAGGGAATTTGTGTGGTTTTAAGGGAAGTATATGCCCCCCTCACCCGCTCGACGGTAATGTTACAGGGTAAAAATTGGTCGGAAAGGGGGGGGGTGGTACGAAAACTTTTCGAAAAGTAGCAACGATAGGACTGACCCTGGTAGCCAATCGATGTGCGAGGACAGCTGCGAAGGGAATTTACTGCCAAGTGTAAGGCCTTGTTTTGTCGCTAAGGACACACCCTTCACAGCAAAGCGCGTCTCGCCCCGCTTCTTGGAAGGACCCGCTCCTCTTTGTAGACAACATTTTTTAGACGTCCAGTTTATCGCGCCGCCCGCTGTTGTGCATTTTTTCTCGATACATCACCTTTTCTGGACGGTTTTTTTTTTAATACGGAATACATCTATAAAAGTAAAGAAGTCCAGGTTTATAGTCTTCCGCGCCAAAACCCTCGAATGTTCGTTAGAACTACAATATGTTTGTAGGAACCCAGGCATGCCAGCATCTGCAAGCGGACTTCTGTCACGGGATGGTCTGGCCAGTCAATCGGCCCCACACAATCACATCATTTGCTATTGCGCATATTTTCGCGAAGCTTCAGGGGCCTTTATTTTCTTACGGCGCTTTGTTAGGATACCTGGAAAAGAAAAAAAAAAAAAAAAAAAAAAAAAAAAAAAAAAAAAAAAAAAAAAAAAAAAAAAAAAAAAAAAAAAAAAAAAAAAAAAAAAAAAAAAAAAAAAAAAAAAAAAAAAAAAAAAAAAAAAAAAAAAAAAAAAAAAAAAAAAAAAAAAAAAAAAAAAAAAAAAAAAAAAAAAAAAAAAAAAAAAATAAACAAGCAGTGGCTTAGTATTTGCGACGGTACTCAACTAAGAGCGATGATTTTGAATCAAGTTACTCAGCCTAGATCGAACTTTCTTCTTAAGCTTACCTAGTCAGAACATCAACGCATTGTATTTTTCACGTCCCAGATCTTATATGCCATTGTTAACTTTTTGAAATCGCTTTGAACGTTAGTATCCTGATGGTCCTACGAACCAAGGACGTGTCTCCTCGCTGCCTTGAATTTACTGTTTATGATTACCAGTGTGGTCCCCCGTCAGCCATCCGGGACGTTGCTTCCCTGCGTAAGCTTCACGCTCTCTGCCGGTAGTGTTACTCGAATACGGCATTTTATAGCCATTGTGGGTGTTATCAGAATCAAATCATCCACGTCATGGAGAGTTCATAGTTTGGCGATCGAGGTGTAGAGTTGCGATTTAAGGCGACGGTATGCTCGATGGCAAGAAGGATAAGTATTGATTTGTTGCGCCCTCATTGAGCGATCGCCTAATCGCCTAAATCGCCTACTCGCCTAATCGCCTACTCGCCTACAACGCTCTATGGGCGGAGCAAACAATCAATACGTATGTAGTCTTCACCGCCTATCGCCTAATCGCCTACTCGCCTACTCGCCTAATCGCCTAATCTATACGTATATTTTTCATTATAGACTAATCGCCTAATCGCCTAATCGCCTAATCGCACGTACGATCGCCAACTATGAACGCTCCATTAGAGTAATACGTCAACATGGATATAGCCTTCCTCCTAAAAGCGGTTGTTTTCCCTCCTGTATCCTCTCCCACCCACCTCTTCTACCTTCCCACTTGCCCCTCCGGCTGCCAAGGCAGCACCCGGTCCTCCCTACGTTTTCTCTTCTCCCCCTCTCCCTCCTCCCCTTCCTGCTCCCCCTTTCCTGCCCCCTCCCTTCTATACCCCCTCCAGCCGCCACTGCAGCACCATGTAAAATGGGATTGAGTGTGCTCGATCGGTGTTTAACATCACGCAGGGTATCCCTTCGAACTCCCCGGTTCTGTTAGCGGTTGGTCCGGACCGACAACGACACACACCGAAAAACCGACACACCAAAGTTGTGGTTTATATAATGAAGTGATTATTGAAGTATCTTCTTCAATAACCAGTTTGTCTCCAGCAACCCCAAAACCATCGTTCCTTGCGAGAGCTTTTCGCTTTCCGCTGTATTCCCAATTGACACCGACATCCTAGGAAGTGATGCGTGCGTACAAAAAAGTGTTTCATATAGTAGAAGGCATTACATTCATGACATTGGGTTGAAATGTCACTAACTTGGGCCTTAATCGTGATGTCGATTGGTTCTCCTCCTCCAATCCTTATCCTTCCCCCTTCCAGTGGCCTCCAGCTGAAGAGAAGGCTTGTAGGAGAACGGATGTGAAGTGGACTTCCGATCTATTTCTCAACTTAAAGTTGGATTCTTTTGCTTTACAAGGCTCCAAGCACTAGGGAAAGGGTCAGGACCTAAGCTTGAATATGGGTCTGAAAACCCAAAGGTAATTGGTGGGGTCGCCCTACAGTGGAGGTAAGTGTCTGCACTGTTTTGCAAGTTCCTGATACTGTAGAAATATTGTATTAGCTCTTACTGGGCCTGCTTGACAACATGGAGCAGCGGAACGGGTAAGATTTCAATCTCATTCAGTAGGCTTTCATTTTATAATAAAGAAAGCACCTACCAATACGTTTCACTTAATATAAATGAGACACACTTATTTCTCACACCTTATCACTGCAGATTCCACTAAGCGGTCATGAAGCGTTCATAGTCCGCGATCGTACGTGCGATTAGGCGATTGGGCGAGTAGTCGA